ATTTTTAATCAGGTTGTATGTATATATTTTGGATATTAACCCCTTATTGGTCATATCATTTGCAAATAGTTTCTCTCATTCAGCAGTTTGTCTTTTTGTTTTGTTGATGGTTTCAAGTAAATCTTAAATGCTCTCACCACACACAAAAAGGTAATTATGTGAAGTGAAGGATGTGTTAACTTCACTATGATAATCATTTCACAATATATATGTGTATCAAGTCATCACATTGTACACCTTAAACTTACACAATATGTCAATTATACCTCAAGGAAACTAGAATAAATAATTTAAATAAAATAATTTTCAATTTTTCTAAATCACTTTTGTACTCAGAATCATTGGTATCTCTTTTTTGGTATGTATTTTTTTTATTGAAGTATAGTCAGTTTACAATTTTGTGTCAATTTCTGGTGTATAGCACAATGCTTCAGTCATACATGAACATACATATATTTGTTTTCATATTCTTTTTCATCATAAGTTACTACAAGAATTGAATATAGTTCCCTGTGCTATACACTATGAACTTATTGTTTATTTTATATATAGTAGTTAGTATCTGCAAATCTCAAGCTCACATTTTAGTCCTTCCCACTCCCTTCCCCTCTGGTAACCATAAGTTTGTTTTCTATGTCCATGAATCTGTTTCTGTTTTGTAAGTAAGTTCGTTTCTTTTTTTTTTTTTTTAGATTCCACATATAAGTGATACCATATGGTATTTTTCTTTCTCTTTCTGGCTTACTTCACTTAGAATGACAATCTCCATGTCCATCCATGTTGCTGCAAATGGCATTATTTTATTCTTTTTTATGGCTGAGTAGTATTCCATTCTCTATATATATCACAACCTCTTTATCCAGTCATCTGTTGATGGACATTTAGCATCCTCTGTACCATCGAGTGTTAGTGATGCAGAATTTCTTAAGAGTACTCTTCTAATGTTTCTAGAAATTTGTTCATGGCCAATGATGCCACTCTGTTGAGTCTTGATGTGCCTGCTCAGGCAGTGACAGCTTATGGCCAACAGGGATTGTAAGATTCATTCCAATTTCAAAGATGTTAAAATGTGGGGAAAAAAATGCACCTCTTGGAATCAGTGAAATGAGGTGGAAGGAGCTCCCTCAGCAGCCTGAACTGTTTTCCTCCATCCTTATTTTACATATGGGAGAGAAAACTTTTTTTTTTAAAGCCACTGCTTTTCTGATCTTTGTTACTCATAATCAAACCCAATCCAAACTGATACACGATTATTATGTTAACCATTATTACTTTGCTTTCCCACTGTAACTTAACCCACTCTTACGTCCTCCTGGACTAATGAATCAAGGCATAAATTTCTTTACTGTTTAGGTGTCCTAAACTTTGCTAATTACCCTCATTTCACCCTTCTCTTTAGCTTTACTGAAGCAGATTCCATCAATATCCCTCTGAAGCTGAACTCAGGACTGCAAAAAAAATTGTAATAAAAATTTCTGTTATTTTAAAATCTGAAGCATAGTATCACTTCCAAGATTAGTGGTAATGCCTCCCTCTACTGAATACTTGATTAGATATGTCTGTTGGGCTTGTAAAAAGAAACTGGAATTGCTGGCAAATGAAAAAAAATTAAAGGAGAATTTAAAAATCAGAAATGTAGAACAAATTTCAAGAGTAGAGAAGATGCAGGAGAAATTAATGGGTGCTTTGTACTGCGTGTCACACATTTCTGAGGGAAAAAAATACTTTTCCTTTTTCTGGAAAATGAAGTACAACTTGTCAGTGACAACCATTTATTAAGAAATTTCCTTTTGTGATAGAGTGAAGATTTTTTTCCCCAGAGGTAAATTATTCAACACAGTTAATTTGAATCCGTATTTGAGCCTGAGATGAAGTTATCAATTTTATTATCATTTTCCCTCAGTCTTTCCTGATATTATCGGTGCCTGAGATTCTGGTACCCATAGCAACAGCCACTATTTCAGACATCATTCCCCTAAGCAACAGAGCATGGCCAATGACTGACAGTTATCCAGCTGTGCATCTCAGGGTGGTATCTTCCAGGACTGGAAGACCAAGTCACAACTCACTACCATGTCTTGAGAGTCAGGTTATCAAGGAGTTGGGAAGGCTGTGAGTATGCAGGAAGGTGACACACCCACAAGAAGTTTACTCACTCCTTTTGAGAGGTATGTGGCAGCGGAGGGTGGGAAAACAAAGAGACTTACAGCAACGGACAAAGTCAAGAAATAGGAAAGTGCAACAGGGCAGACTTCATTCATCTGAATGTTTCTTCTTTCCGTCACTGCCCACATATTCCAAAGGCTGTTTGTGGACCCCAAAGCTGAACCAGGAAAAGGGCAATTTAGAGCATTCACTTTTGTCTTGCAGAAGAACAAGAAGGAAAGAACCAATTGAGCTGTCACTGTGTCTAAACTTCCCTGCCAGGGATTCTTAAAGAAAAGCTGTGAAATGTAACACTACAAGTAGGGGCTTGTAATAGGCACTGGAATGTAATAATCACAGTTCTCTTTGAATCTTGTAGGTGAGGAAATCCCACATCCTAGAGGATGCAGGTCTAAGAATTCTCTGTATCATCCCAGGGAGTCCCTCTGTATAACACAAAAGGGAAAGATGGGATAAAAAGGGGGCCTTGCAGCCCAAATTGGGGTCAGCTTTAGATCCCAGTGAAGGGCCCATAACAGGCAATTGTTCAGTATATAGATTACAGCATCCTGTGCATAACAAAAATACAGGGTTTCTCTGTCCAGATGAGCTGAATTTGCAGGCAGACCATACCTGTTTTGTAGCGGTCCCCTTTACCTCTTGTAACTGAAGAGAAGCCACTCAGAGTGAAAGGTGTAATCTCTGGGGATTTGCAGTCCTGAGGTCCCCCAGGAATTCAGGGCTAACTCAGGGTAGCAGTATTGCTGCCTGTGTAGGGCAGGGCCTGAACAGAGTGATTCCGGTGTACGGGTCTTGGCTACCTTCTTGTGCGGTGCCCTGCTGCCTCTTACGCATTCTGTGGCCAATTCTGAAGACCTCTTTCCTATGAGAAGGATTCTGGCTGAGGTCTAGAATCCATCCGCACCCTAGGCAGGAGGCACACCTGTAATTAGAGGGAAGACTGCAGGGATCAGGGCTGTCTTTACAAGTGTTGGGGATTTCCCTCCCTTATGGGGCTGGTTATATGGCTGGATTCCCAGTCTACTCACACAGTCTTTCTTAACCCATTGTTACACTTGTGGAGTAACAGGAAAAAAACAGAAGGCATTAGAAGATCTGTGTATGTGTCCACATTCCATTACTTTTTACCTGTGTGGCCTCCCTTTTGCTCACTGATAAAGACATGGTCGTAACACCTATCCTTCTTATTTCTTGAGGTTCTTATAAAAATAACATACAATAATGTAAATTAAAGGACTTGGAGCTGCAAAGTGCTAATCACATTTTATTATTCTAGTTTGTCAACCCCTTGGCTATGAGGAAGACAGCCCAAGGCCCATGCCCCCTTATCACTATAGCCCGGTGTCAGCCTGTCAGAGGCAGTCTCTGCCGTGCTGTCTTCCAGGGCCCCTGGCTTGCTAGTGAGACTCAATAAACATTAACATTTGCATAATTAATTGAAGTAAAATATATTGTATAAATCTAAAGATCCCTTTTCTTTTCATCCCTGTCCAATCCTATTTCCTTCACTTCTTCCCCAGAGGCAACTACTGTGATAAATTCTAGACCATGTTCTTTTGTATCTTTACCATACATAGGCATCCACAGACACCACCTACCTAGGCACAGGGCCTCGGATCACCCATCTCACCTCACTCCGCACCCCCCCTTTTTTTTTATAAGGGGAAGATTGATTTTGTGTTTTTCAGGGTCCCATGGAATCCTCCCTCCACCCATGGAGACCCTGAGCTGCATATGGATGGAGTCGGGGTGGGTGAAGAGACTCCTGCATACCTGTTTTGAACTTAAAAGGTTAGGGTTTTGCACATACAAAGTAACCAGACACCTTTATTTAAGAACCAGTAACTTTATTGGAAGGAATGATAACATTGAAAGAAG